CATGGCTGAGGGAGTTTCCATTCATGGACACTTATTGAGTTACCCAGCCATGAAGTCGGATTTCTTTTCTTGTAGTCTCCTAGCATGAAGACTATTGTAAGAAACGTTTCGTATCTTCATATCAATGATGGATCGGATTTTGTATGTGTATTCAACATAAATTCCGTTAATGGCTATGTTGTTATTATCATGTCTACGTGTCGCTTCACTTACTGTCACTTGATGCTATATGACCACTGGCTTATGTTGTTACACATCCCACTTCCCCATTACATTCTGAGATCCACTGGTAAATGGAGACATACACACACATTATATATTATATAGTTTGCTACAATTAGTAAACATGATACTCGCATCAGTAGCGTCGGCAAGATATTTCAAATAAGCCAGGAAGACAACCTGAACTTCTGTATGAACACCGAGCGACAAGTAACCAATCACATGACACACACAACCCACATCTGGCACCCGAGTCCCAACATAGACATAAACACTCTTGACGATTTTTCCACACTGATCAAGCCAATCACCGCAGAGGAAATACTCAAAACAATAAACAGTTTCAAGAACAAGGCCCCGGACATCAGTAAAATAAACAAACCCATACTCCAGCATCTACCAATCAACACACAACTCAGAAACATTTTTAATGCATCACTCGCCTCTGGTTACTTCCCAAGGAAATTTAAAACAGCAAGCATCAGGCTTATACCAAAGCAAGGTAAATCCCCCACTCAAGTATAAAATTACAGACCAATTTCTCTTCTAGAAACACCGGGAAAAGTCCGAGAAAAAATCATTAACCACCGACTGAGAATACACCTCGAACTTGAAGGGAAATACCACCCCAGGCAGCACGGATTTAGAAAACACAGAGGAACCCATACAGCCTTAGCCCTAATTGACGAAAACATAGTAAACGCAATGCACAACAGAGATCAATGTAACGTAGTATTAAGGGACGTAGCAAAAGCATTCGACAAGGTCTGGCACTTGGGGCTCAAATACAAAATTACCACCCAAGAACTTCCCAACAACTTTACTTCTCTTCTTTGTAACTTCCTTGATAACAGAGAGGCTAAAATTATAATCGGTAACCACATAGGTCCAAGCATCAAGTTATACAGCGGAGTATCACAGGGAAGTAACCTCTCGCCAACACTCTACACAATATACACGGCAGACATGCCACCTCATACACACGGAGAATACATAGCTTATGCTGATGACGTCACCCAAAACATCCGACATCCAGGCAAGGGCAAACAGCCAACGCCATCGAGCAAATCAACGAATATGAAAAAAAGTGGAAAATTCAAACCAATACACTGAAACTAAAAATCATACACATTGCCAAAATAAACCCAGCACCAATCACAGTCAACAACGTACCTATACAATACTCCAACGAAGGCAAAATTTTGGGACTCACAATAACAAGAACAGGCATAGCAAAACAAATAACACAACGCAAAACGCTTGCCCAATCACAACTCACAAAACTACGAAGATTTAGCAAAATGGACACCAGAATTCAACTACACCTATTAAAAGCACTGGAGTATCCACCAATACCACTCAGCACGCTCAGCAAAACCAGCCAACTTAAACTTCAATCAGTACAAAACAAAGCTATCCGTAGAGCATCAAAGTAACTCTCCCCATACACCACCAAAATACAAGAACTTCACGAATTATACAATATCGAACCACTGAACACACGTAAACACAGCCAAGCCCAGAGAATCTGAACCAAACTTGAAGAGTTGGAGGACCCAATATTCCCCGAGTTAAAAGAAGAAGAAACTACTAAAGCACACAACTGGTGGGCTAAGAGCCTCCATGCTGACACAGAAGAACAAGACCCACTTTACACATATATGTGAACAAATAACACCACCATCTAACAAACATAAACTAACACCCATTACACTAATGAATGCCTAGCTAGCTTAGCTCCCCCCCCCCTCCACCTGCCTCCCTTAAGCGGGCAGGTGTCTGCTGTGTGTGGCCACAACCCCAGCCAATCAACTCGTCTCAGCTAGGTGGACAGCCCACCTGCTATCACCCCCTACTACTTTATTTCTCGTTTCTATGCTTTCCTTCTCTCTCCCCTCTCCTCTCCCACGGCAAAGTCATTTGCCACTTTACTTCATTATCATCATCATCATCATCATTATGAGAGTATGTGACGTCATGTGGAAACTAAGAATTGTGGAATAGATATGTAGGAATCACCCAGGATCACCCCCAGTGACTTGGGTGGTCCATACTTTCGAAGAGTAAAGGATCCCCGGGGGTCGTCACCTGGTTGCCAGAACCCTGGAGAGCACTACATCATTTGCGTTGCGGCCCCCCAAGTCGACACCCCTCCCTGTCCGAGTGATCCTCCCTTTTCTTGTCCAAATCCTCTAGACATGAACCGAGAAAAAGGGCAGCAACATCCGATGAACAGTAGGGAGCCCCCCACGTCACCAGCGTGGTAGGAACTCCCATGAGGATCGTCATCTGGTACAGCGTATCCAAGGTGGGCGATGAGAGTTCACTCGTCGGGTGTTTGAGAGAACGGCAGGAAACGGAGTGAGGGATGACTGATGCCATTCCTGTAGTGCATTTTAGTTTTTTTTTTCTCTTTTGTCTCAGCAAGGAAGCCTGGTGTAGCCTATTCTTACTTCAGCAAGGATAGATGTCGTAAGGGTTCCCAATTTTCCTTCTCAGAGGAGGCTTTGGAAACCTCAAAGCGCAGCGCAGGTACACTAGCGAACGCCCCAACCCACAAACATATTACGAATTCGCGTAGGTGAGACGTCACATGTACTTGAAGCTGAGGTTGAGGGATAAATTAAGGCAACCTGTGATTCCTGTGAACAAACTAAGACAAGCCTTGATTGAGAAAAACACAACAATTCACAGGAAGCCATATCACAAATGCATGGCTTTACTTTGTATTGCTACAAGGCTTCTGCCAAGAACTGAGAAATTAGACTGCGAGAACGGGTGGTCGCGATGATGAGCGCGGTTACGGATAGCTGAATTATGTGGTTGTGTGATCAATAGGCTTGTTTGGAAGGAACGGCCCTACAGCTAGCACACGTAATTTGATAAACAACTGAGGATTGCATGTGTCTGGGTATGGTGTCGTTAGCTATATAAATATAAAAATACCTGTAAATGAACTATGAGCTTTGAAGACTAGTTTAAGAGAAATTTGTGGATATAATTCATTGAGAAGCTTCTTTAGTTTGTTTTATGGGTGAAATTAAGTGAACCTGTGTACTGTATGGTGAACACTTGGGCTGTTCCGTTCGAACAAGCCCTTATACATTGTTGACTCAATCCATATGTCAAGGCCCACGCAAGAGTATGGATTTTCAATCATGGAGTGGGCAAACAGACAATTTATCACTGTTCGTCCGGAAGATTGTCGAGAACTGTACTGAAGTCTGGAAGGTGCTGGCCATATTTGTCATTATCATAGATAGTCATCCATGACAGAATTAATTTTATTGACGATTTGAACTAACGCCAGTTTTGAGTCCCGAGTGCATTAATGTTCTGTCAGAATCTCTACCATCTCCAAGAAAGACAACCAATACTGTGCCTGCGGGGAGTCGCCATAGTCTTTGAAGAGAGTGTCGACAAGCTTCTTCAGCTCCTCATTGTTTTCACTCTCGGCGTAGGTTTACGCAAGTTCATCTTGGGACGCATTAATTTGCTGATGCAGTTCGTCGGACATAGGAGAGCCATCCAATTATTTATCCAGTGCGTATTAACCAGCGTTTCGTAAAAAATCCGTAAACCCACACACCACACTTGAAATGCTTCCCGCGTAGTGCCTGGTCGACTGAATCTTCGGCCATCATACCTTCTGCCACCATGATGTCTAATAGCCTCGAACCCTTGAATCGCTTGTAAATGGCGTTGATGTATGACATTTGCATATGGAAGAATCCCCAGAAAGAAAGGATTTTGTTGAACAGGTTTGGGTTTTTGCTTTTCAGCTGAAGGAGCCGTACATATACAGGTTGATAAGTGACCACTATGTTCCTACCCAATTTTAGTGTGATTATTGAAGATTTCGGATTGCGGCTATTTTGTATAAGGGATCAAGGTGACTTCAAAAGTAAAAAAATAACTGCTTTATCCATTTTCTCATGCTGGGATTAATGGGAGAAGAAACAGCATTCGTGCATATAGCTCATTTGGTTCTTAAATTATACCATTTTTTTTAACATGGCCGACAGCAGCCATCTGAGATTTAGAGGTTATGATGACCCCTAAACAAAAAAATGACCATCCCATCAGATTTCACACCTCAAAATTAGTGGAAAATGACCCGTCATTCATGATTCTAGTGTTTTTTAGTTCAAAAGTTATCATATGCCTCATGCCTCCATGCTCTAGTAGGGTTAGATAAAAAAAAAGTAGAAACATAATAGTCACGAATTCCATGAAAACGATTCTACTAAAGGGTCATTGCTTCGATCCCGGCACTTCCAGTTTACCCAGCCGTAGATGGGTAATTTGCTTGCCAAGTTGGGGAAGTGGAGGTGGTTTAGCATAGTGTCAGCCTCGCTGTCTCCTTGTGTACCGAAAGTTCAGTGTACAGACATCTGTATCCATAAATTTTCCTGAACAGACCCCCTTTCATAGTTCAATATTTGAGGCAAAATATTGATATGTATCTGTTTCACCAATAATTTTGTAAGTCGCATCGTGAAATTTGGTGAAAACATATGCCGAAGGGCTAAACTTTTGGTGCGCTCTGTATCTGTGGTAGGGGGCTCTCATAAGGTTTCATGAGTTATATTTATTCTTCGGACAAAACCGCGACACGACTTTTGTCTTTGACTGTACATTTCTATGGCGATTAAACAAAATTAATATTGGAGTGACTTGTACTGCAGGTATACCTATCAAAAAGTCATATATTTATAGATTCATCTTCTGAAGAAAAAAAAATATTAAGGTATGATTTTTTTTTATCTTTTCTACAGAAAGGCATTCCGTAAGGTGATATCGTGTGGCCCCCAGCGACGTACAGCGCTTAATGGCCGGACGGACTTTGAAAGGTCGATGGAGACGAGGCCACTTAACCCTAGGCCTAGTCCACAATCCATTCCCTTGATCAACATGGTAACCAGCACTCATCACTTAAGTCCTTCGGCCGGCCCCCCCTTGCATCGCAACACCACAACAACTACAACCACGAGCTTTACCAACGGGGCCACCAGAGAAGAAACCTCCAACAACTCGCAGACACAAGATGTCTTCATTGGCAATAAGGTAGTCGCTCAAGCTACCAATTACGGCGGCTTTAACGATGGCGCCTTTAACTTGCATGAGCAATGTGAATAACGTCGAGGGGGTTCAGCCTCAACCAGCTAACATTCTTGGTAATTTTTTTGTAATCAAAAGACGATTTTAGAAGAAAACAAATGAGGCACATTGATGAAAATCAATATCATATTTATCATATTGAAGAATCTTTTTGGTAGAGTATTTTGGGATTGGAGACAATAATGAATTAGAAATGGATGTCGTATAAACATATACATATACCTATATTTTTGTAAATAGACAAATTTATTAAATACACTTAAATATAGAGATCAGATAGACTTTGTAAAATTAAAGGATTCATCCACAGCGATAGATGCTTTGCAGAGTGGATAGTAATACCAAGTCACATATGTGTGTAAAAATGTACGTGAGTCTGGTAAGTGTGTACGAATAGTTGCGTGGGTGAAGTATTTGTACATATATGAATCCTGCAGTGTTTACATACATCGACGTGACCCTAAAAACCTGAGCATGGTACAGCTTGCTCACTGCCTTCAACAAGTGGCACTACTGAGAACAAATATGCAAATTGCCATTGCTGTAGGTTACTGAGCCAAATACTAATGGTTGATATGGATATTTGCTCGTTTGTATTCAAATGGAATATGCTCAAGAGATAAATAATTTTGTGTTCTTGAAAGATTTTGTGGAGGTGCGTTGGGCTGATATGCTAATGAGCCCCGCATGTTAACCCAACTTTTACCCCCAACTTCGCATTGCATGGTAAACTGACCTGCGTCACTAATCCACCAAACACAGCTTTAATGAACCTGACATGGTCTTTCTTGTTGATATGACCTTCAGCTTTATTGAAGCATTCCTTTTATTTAATGCTGGTCAATTTGCTATGTGTTTAGATAATTGTCTGAAAATATTGTGGGTATTATCTGTATTCCTCATTGTTATTGTGAACATTGTTGTTTTTCTTCCATAATTTACTTACAGTGACATTGTGATATATCAGTGGTGATTATCATTGTATTTAAACTGTTAATCGTTATATTGGACAGTATCATTCTAGGTCACCATTCTCCCTACCTGTCAGTAAAACGTGGTAGTGGAGGGGATGCTTAAGGACCATTCTCCTTAATGATTTTTTTCTGTCTTGTTTTGGGCCACAGATAAAGTGAAATAATGATGCAAACAGGCCATGGAGGCAACACTCTGGAGGAAGTGTTAAGAGTGTGGAGTTCACCATTGGCCATATTAAAAAGGTGCTACCCGTGATGGGGTTAACAACCCCCACCCCATACTAGCACTTCAATATTCCACCCCCGCGTATTTCAACTATCAAATAATGGCTTTCGTCACGTCACTGGAAAAGGATCTTCACACTGAAGATTTTTCAACATTTTGGCTCGTGGTAGATACCCTAATGTCTAACAGTTTGAGCTTAAAGAATACGCTTTAGTATGTAAGGTACTCTCTACCTTATTAATTATATCAATAATTTAGTTGAATATAATATGTAGACCATAAGAGGTATAGCTATTTTCACCGATGATTATATTAATGAATGCCATATTTAGTATCTCAAATTTATACACATCTCCTGTTGACTCATTCATATAGACTATAAGTTTCCATTGAAATTATTCTACGTGGTTTATTCATTATCACATCTCATTCGTTATAACTGCAAAAACAATCTACATCCATAATATTTGTATCTTATTTTTTTTTCAAATTATGCTTGCTGTCTTCACAATTAAACACGCACACACACACACATACATATATATATATATATATATATATATATATGTATATATATTTCATTAGCCCAATAAAGCACGCGGACTTCTACATACAATCAACACCTCAACCCGTGGGTTCGAATCCTGGCGGGTTGAGGTGTTGATTGTATGTATATATATATATATATATATATATATATATATATATATATATATATATATATATATATATATATATATATATATATATATATATACACTAGCAGAAACGCCTATCCACTAGGCCACGGTAGGACGCCACCCTCCAGAAGGCTCCACATTGTCTTATTGTTCAGTTCCCAAAACTTCTTCTTCCATCAATACTTCATTAATGGTGTATGTAAGTTCCACCATGTTTTTCACTACAACGGTACAGCAAAGTATATTTTTTAGCATTAAACTGTTATTATTTTATTGTCTAATCATCACTACATATAACACCACCCATCATCACTATATATAACATCATCCATCATCACTACATATAACACCATCCATCATCACTACATATAACACCATCCAGCATCACTACATATAACACCACCCATCATCACTACAGATAACAACATCCATCATCATTACATATAACATCATCCATCATCAACTACATATAACACCATCCATCATCACTACATATAACACCATCCATCATCACTACAGATCGGTAAAGTGGGGTAACTAAAAGAAATGATGAATTTTTTTGGTGTTCAAACCAAAGTTTGGTTCATTTTGCATGCACCAAAAAATATATCTGAATTCTCATATCATCATTTAAAAATGAGGGGTTGCTACCGACCATCAAATTTTTTGATCTTCATGTATTTCACGCTTATGCTCTACTGCTAATATTATACTGTTTCTTCACCACTCTTGAAGTCGCATTATACACACGCGTTGTCCTTTTTATAGTAGAAGTTACCTTGATGGCCTGATATAACAACTGATAGAAGTAGAGCTTAAAATGTTTACATATTTGTTACTTGATAAATGTATCTTCATATCAACCAAAGCAAATCCGTAATGCTTGACCACTTATAGCGTAAATTGTTTCTGTTCTTAATTGTCTGTTAAGAACTTGCTGTATTCATTTATCAACCTAACTCCCTTTTCAGCTTTGTCATTAACAACTTTCCTTTATTGATACGTTACCTTGCATTATTGTACAGTTCATCTTTGTGCCATTCAGCATCATTTTTGCTGAAAAAAGGTGAAGCAAATCCTACAATTTCGAAGAACATTCGATTATTTGTTGCTAAAAAAATCTAGTTACTTTACCTGAATGAGCTTAGGGTCTAAACTATTCCGCTTTGCTTGAGGTGTTTTCCCAGGGTTTTGCTAACACATTGCCATTCAATTTTTTCAATTTCAATTGTTTATTCCTTGATAGAGGAAGCGGGATCCTAGTGCTGTCACTAGGTACCCCTGTACATTGTGTACAATAACACAAGAAGGATCTGGCAAGTGTGACAAGTATATACAGTATAAATGTTATAAAGGGGCTTACTAAAGCCTAAGAATGTAAGAATATTCCTTTAACACATAATCAATGTTATTTACATAATATCTGGCCAGTATGGGGAGGATCATCGTGTCTCCGTCAGGGGGTCGTGGAGTGGTGGTCCAGCAGGCATACATTGCCATTTTGTTCTTTGTTTCAACAGACAATTTGGCATCAAAGTAGTGAGAAAACATCACATTCCTCAGAAATGTACCAAAGATAACCCAACATATTTTTTTCAGAGAAACAAATGAAATGAACATGCCATTATGTTTACACAGATCAAGGTTCTTTAACAACTCTAAATTATGGCAAGGAGCAAGAGATGGTGCAAGAACTGTGAACCAAGCTTTCACGCACAGGCCACCAGCAAACAGGGTGATGTTCTTATTCCTTTTTCTTCCCTAGGTTAATCTTTAACTGGGATTCGACCTTTCAAATTGTCAAAGAATATATTACTTTAACCATCTATCTAGCTCAGTGAAACCCTACTGGACTTTTAAACGAGATTTCACATTTTAGTTCTCCTCCCAGGAAAAGTATTGTTAATTATAGTAGTTCACTTTCGTCAAATGCATTTATATCAACTTTAATATCAGCTACATTTTTACCTGTTCCCGGCTCTGATAAAAATGTTCGATAATGTTGCTTGTTGAAACTAGGTCCTTTTCCCTTGAGTCGCTTGAAAAGCGCTTTATCTGAACTGATTATGTTGATGGTGACTTTTTAACTACACCTTCCAATATAGCTTCTAGTGAGTGATGACGAAAAGGCTAATCATATTTTTTTCAAGAAGAATACGGGCACCATTACTAGGATCAGTAGTAGCTGCAGTTGCGTCGAAACACATGCATTTATTTCGGTTATAAATACCCGTTCAGGGGATATCTCATATACAGCAGTTGCTGGCTAGTGCCCGAATCCATTTTTGGTACACCAAGGAGTTGATCCACCACTGTTTCCCCCGAAGCTAATATTGGTAGTCGGTCAAAAACTTCCCTGACGGATATTATCTTCTAACACAGGGGTTCCCAAGCACTTTCCAGTGCGACCCCGTCTAGTACTGTGGCCTATCCAGTGCGTCTAACAGTTTACCATCCAATGGAATGTTAAGGGCACCTTTTTTTTAATTCTTTGCAATTCTCTTTCGAAATTGCTCTTTCTCTGCTAATAGATAAATAGCTAACGCTGTATTCCTCTGTTTTTTCCCAAGACTTTGAATTGCTAATGTCAGGACAAGCAAGGGTTTTCGGTCACTTACAGTAGTTTAGCAACATCAAGCCTATATAACCATTTACCGACAAGCACTTTTCATCATTAAGTTATATTTTTTCTTAGAGCAGATGGTCTAGTTGTAGCATCAATGTTAATGGTACCACCTGTAATTGTCATATCTACCTCTTCTGGCTCTGATTCAGATGACCTGCTGCTGAGAACTAGAGTCTCTTCATGCCTTTTTTTTTCTTTTTTCATAGTGCTATTGTTTTCCCATTGTTCTCTGTTTTTTTAGCTAAAGCCTTCTCAATGTTACCCATTCTTCTCAACGTCCGTTCTCACGCTGTGGTTTTAGAAAATTTATCTTCTTCTTCCATATGCATTAGATTCGCAACATTCGCATGAGCTATGCCAAATGAAGTGTCTAGTTGTTTTCATTCTCTAATTTCTTTGCAATTCTTTTCTTGAATACGCAATGTTACCACCAGCACACGGTCTTGCACAATCATCTTCATGGAGTTCTGAAATAAAAATCAATAAAGACCATTATTTCACTTAAATTGATTGGGACTTTATATATATATATATATATATATATATATATATATATATATATATATATATATATATATATATATATATATATATATATATATATATATATATATATATATATATATATATATATATATATGCAAATAAATCACTGTAGGTGCGCGTGATCCATGTATAACCACAAGAACACACGAAGTTACCAAGCGCTTTCGTGTAATTCACATCTTCAGGGGTGAGTACAAACTAAGGAGTAATACTTGACAAGGCTAATATATACAGTAGAGGAGAGTGAGATCAAGTCCCTAGGGACAGTAGGTGTGCACCATATTCAGGTCATGAGGTAAAGTGTTCCAACACATTTCACCTGGTTACAAATCTTCTTAATCAAAATATTGTCCACTTTGTACATGCCGTTCCTCAAATTCATGTTGACAAATTCGGTCTGTTTAATGAGACTAGATTCTATAATGTTCCTATTGACAAGAACATAAGAACATAAGAACATAAGAATGGAGGAAACTACAGCGGGCCTATTGACCCAAACTGGGCAGTCCCGTTTATACCCAACCCCTATTGGTCATACAAGCATCCAACCTATGTTTGAAGCTTTTCAGCATATTTGAGTTAATAATGATATTTGGTAACATGTTCCATTCATCCACTACTCTGTTTCCAAACCAGTGTTTACCTATTTCACGCCGAAATCTAAATTTGTCTCATTTAAAACCATTATTAGGAGTTCGCTCATGGTTGGATAGTTTGAGTACCTTTGTAATGTCCCCTTTGTTTAACCCTGACATCCATTTATACACCTCTATCATGTCGCCCCTCACTCTACGTCTCTCGAGGGAGTGCAAATTAAGATGCTTTAACCTGTCTCTGTACTCAAGGTTCCTGATGCCCTGGATTAATCTTGTCATTCTCCTCTGGATTCTTTCTAATGATTCTATACCCATTCTGTAATACGGTGACCAGAACTGAACTGCATAATCCAGGTGAGGTCTCACAAGCTCTAGATATAATTTTAAGATGACCTTGCTAGTCTTGTAACTAACACTCCTTTGTATGAACCCAAGTACTTCATTAGCCTTGTTACGAGCAAAAACACATTGTTTACTTGGCTTAGGATTCCTACTTATCATTACTCCTAAATATCTCTCGCAGTCAGATTCCACAATGGCATTGTTGTTCATCTGGTAACTGGTTTCCCTGTTTACATCTCCTATGCTGAGTACTTTACATTTGACCACATTGAATTTCATCTGCCATTTTTCCGACCATTCGAAAAATTTGTTTATATCTTCCTGTAGTTTTGCAGAGTCCTCGTCAGATTTAATTACACGTCCTATCTTAGTGTCATCAGCAAATTTACTTATGTTGCTGTCAATGCCGATATGTATGTCGTTTATGTATATCACAAATAATAATGTTCCAATTACTGAGCCTTGGGGAACTCCACTAGTGACGCTGCTCCAATGCAATTTAGTGCCGTTTATGCTCACTAGCTGTTTCCTGTCCCGTAACCACACCCTAATCCATTTAAGGATATTACCTTTGATGCCATGCGCTTCTATCTTTCTAATTAGTCTTTCGTGGGGGACTCTGTCGAAGACTTTGCTAAAGTCGAGATATACCACATCATAATTGTGCCCCTAGTCCACTGATTCGAAAACTGATGAAAAGAATGTTAATAGATTAGTTAGACATGAACGCCCT